AGTGTGGACACAGAATCTCAGGGCTACAGTATGGACACAGAATCTCAGGGCTACAGTGTGCAGCGCAAACTCTCACGGTTGCAGAGGGTCTATAACACCACTAGCCACAGACACATTGCAAAAGCACACTTTCTCAGATTCCAAGATAAACAAGTGACATTAAGACTGAATAATAATAGGGGGAATAAAAAAATAGAAATCTCTTTCCTTCATTTTGGTAAATTTTTACAAAGGTAAGGATTATTCTGGCTGAGGAACCCAGCGAACGACCTGAACAGTATAATTTCTGGCTGTTTTTATAAACAACCATTTTAGATCTTCAGGTACAAAATTTGCCTGTTACCCATGCAAGTCTCACTGACGATGAAAATTTCATTAATTAAACAGGTGTAACCTGTATGCTCACATGCTGAATAATTAAAGTTCAATTCCACTGAATGCAAATTTAGCAGAGACAATAAGAACACGCAGCAGTAACTGTTACTACATTTCGTTACACTGTGGTAAAGGTGAATTTTCTTCCACATCCAAAAATAAATACATAAATAAAAGTCTCACAGAAGAGTGAGAAATCAGGCGGTAGGAAAATCTCCACACTATGATTGGTGAGGGAAAAACGAACCAAGAGAGAGTCAAGCAAGAAAAAAAAAAGCTCAGTGCTGCATCTTTTGAAACCCACTATGACTTAGGCTTGGGAATCATCTGAACTCACAGCGTAACCAGGAAAGATGGCATAATGGCCAGTCACCATGGCACTGACCATTCATGCTCCTTTAGCTATTCACCTGAATCTTTTCATTTATTTTTAATGAATTAACCAATTTTTTTTTTTGAGACAGGTTCTCTGTGTAGCCCTGGCTGTCTTGGAACTCACTTTGTAGACCAGACTGGCCTCAAAGTCACTGAGATCTGCCTGCCTCTGCCTCTCAGGTGCTGAGATTTAAAGGTGTGTACCACCACCACCGCCAGGCTTATTCTACTGAATCTTAGGGATAAAGTTCTAAAATTTAACAGTGTCCAGATCTGTAAGACCCATTCCCGATTGAGAGGAGTGGATTTACAAGTACCATACAGAACCTCCCAGAAGAACCAGCTCATGGCATTAGTTGCAAGTGGATGCCTTGAATTTGTAGTCGAGCCAATATTTGAGAAACCAGACCGAGTTCTTTCCAGACAGCAAACCGTATAAGGACATGTCAGACACATTTGCTGTGAAACACTCATACCCACTCTTAAATCCCTACTGACTCTAAGAAATGGCTTCACCTTTTTTCCCACAGCTAAAAGTAATGCACTATTGCCAGCACAGCTTCCATCCAGATATACAGAGGGGTGTTTAGTTTTATAAACTCCTTTCCACCTAAGAGATGACTTGGGGTTTGTCATGATGCCAAGTCAGAGATTTTCAAACCAATATCACGCATGAGACAAGTACAGCAGACACGAGATGAAATCCCTTATCATGGCGGTCACACGACGTGAGGCGCACAGTGACCTTCGGGGCTGTGGCTTCTCTTCTCACTCCTAGGGTTCAGGATCATTGATTGGAGTGCCACACAGATCTGGAAAAAGCGTAAGAGAGTCACTAATGAGTAAATCCCAGGTCAGTGAGTCGTTTTTTTCCTCTACAGAATGCCCACACTGGTGGCAGCACATTTTAAAGCTTTCCTTGCTTAAAAAAAAAAAAGTAAGTACATGGAAAAGTAGAAAGGAGCACATATTCCACACCCCCACTGGATCCTGAGCCCAGTTTCCAGAAAGATTCACAGGCCATCCAAACTGCCCTCATCTCATCTTCCAGTCTTTAGAACCAAGCATCTCTTGAGATCCCCACAGGTGCGAGAGTATTGTAGGGAGATACAAGCAGGGTGTTTCACAGTGAGAATGAGTGAGGATGCTGGCAGAGACCTTGGGAGGCACTAGCTATTTTGACTCACATTGCTTTAGCTATGTGACTTATTTGAAATATGCTAGCCTTTGAGAGTCATGATTTTTTATGTGGTGTTAGAAGCTAAGTTTTCCCTCTCAGGTTAAGAAGTCATATAAAATTAAGGATATTCGTCCACTTAAATGTTGGCTGACTATTTCTAGATGCTTGCTATATTACACCGTGGTTAAGATGTTTCTAAGTGTCATGGTTGAATATTAGCACAGAGTGATTAATATAGAGTACCCTTAGGTTTCCATTTAGATCCTTCCATCTCCAGGACACCAGGGTAGCCATTCATTTACAATCCCCAGCCGTGTGTCCTCTACCTTGTATGGACACAGTTGTAGTCTGAGTCACGTTCTATATCACATCATGGTTTCAGTCATCTTGATTTCAAGATATCAAAATGACTCTCAGGAGATGCAGGTGATTTAGGCCACAAGAAGATGCCATTGGAAAACATAGGGAAGTTACTTCTTTTTCTTTTTCCTTTGGTCTATTAAAAAAGAGACACGAGGACTAAGCCTGACTCCTCTGCCTTATACCACGAGCAGAGTGTGCTCAGTGACCTTTCTCCTACCCAGTGAGCGACAACTCAGCGGCACCCACAGATCCGAGCAGCGCCCTCCCTCACTGAGATCTTCCCCACCCATTAGGTAACACCAATGCCTATGAGGCTCTCACTGCTGTGGTACTTCATAATTCAAACCCAGACACCCCCTGACATAGACAGGCCTTCTCCATCACTCCCCATGTGTGCTTGCACGTGCGGGTGAATGACTAAGCCTTGACACATTGAAGAGCTGGACTGTGTCCTCATCTGCTCTGCTCCAGAGAAAGGGAGGCAATCTAGACAAAGCAGGCAAGAGTAAAACTCATACGGACCGTGTGTATGTTAGGTATGGAAAGTAAGCTTCCAGCAAATCTCTAGTCCTAGAAACATCTATTTTCTAAATAATTATTTTTCGCCCTGTGAGCAATCGACGAGTGTTTCTTAATTCTCAGGATGGCGTCTTCCATGTGGTGTACTCCCCACTCCATGTACACACTTACGTACAGAACACAGCCCTGAGACCCGGTTTCCACTGCTGAGATAAGGCCACAGCAAAGCTGGTGCCTAACACAGGGCACACCGAATCTCTGAAATATAGCTGGTACTTTGCTCTGGTAGAAAGGCCATTGTGCTGTGCTGTAGATGACACTTTAAGGCACCAGGAGTGAATTTTTCTGTGACATGAATGTCACATGCCATGGGACTCTGGAGTCATCCCCTGTGTTAAATCACAGCACCTCCTTTGTTACGTTTGCATTCACTGGAGTTTATTTGCTAATTTGTTTTTCTTGAGACGAAGTCCACGTAGCCCAGGTTAGCTCTGTGGTGTGGTGAGGGGTGTGTGTGTGTGTGTGTGTGTGTGAGAGAGAGAGAGAGAGAGAGAAAGAGAGAGAGAGAGAGAGAGAGAGAGACATACTCCCTGTGTGTATGTTGGAGGTCAGGTAATTGTACACTAGCCAATAACTACTCCATGAGTATACACTCCATACAAGATGCTATCATGAGAATGGGGGAAACACTCACCTATTGCTTTTAGGGAGACAAATAATTATTTAGAGAAGAAATACCTCTAGAACAAGAGATTGGGCTGGCAGCTTGGCCTTTGTATCATTGGATGTTGTTTTAACTTTCTCTGGCAATAATTTATGTCAGTCTGAAAGAACAGTCTACCTTGTTTTCAAGGTGTTAGCCTGCTTCAGTAGGGGCAAAGGTGCTCAGTCTCTGGTAAACACGAAGTTGCCCCAGTTTTTGGCTTAGGTATAAGCTGCTGTATCCATCACAAGCTTTGTGAAGAAGCCCAGCCCAAAAGAGCTCTATCCACTATGCTGCCCAAGCACAGCAGCGGCCTTTGGCTCTACACAGCCCAGCTGCTGGCAGGAAGGAGCTGAAAGGCGACCAAATGCAGTCGTCTGGTGTTCGCTGTTACATTAGCAGCCCTATATGTCTCTCTTAGGTTTATCCTCCACGCTTATATTTTCATTTTTATTTCCAATTACACCTATACAGAAAATGAAGAGGGGGTGCTAACATTTCTGAAACTGAGTCAGATCACTGAACCTGGGAGCAGTCTTCCCTCCCTAGAATCTTAATTCAGGTCAGTGACTCCGAGAAACAGTGGCTGACACCCCTTCAGGTATTTCTGGAATGGATGCAGTCATCTCTGGTGTCTATCATAGGCGACTTCAGGTGTTTTAGGTTATTTCTAGGGAAAACTAGCAAGCATATTTCAAATCTTGCTCATTGTATGTGCACTACTAGATAAGCATACACTTAACACAACCGAAATGACTAAAAGTCTTTCTTTGGGAAGCAAGGCTTTGAACTTGTGTGAATGTCACAATTCCATCATTATATAACAATATGAAACATCTTAGACTATCAAACAATCCTCTCAATGTTATTTTACTGCATTTTTCTACAAGCTCCCACAAAAATAGACTTTTAAATAGAAAGCAACCTTATTGTCTGCTCAAAGTGAGAAAACAAACTATCGTTAGTGTAAGCTATGTGACCGTCTTATCTAGAAACTTTTAATGACATCAATATATAGCTATAAGCACACAGTGATATTCCTTCAAGGACTTGAGCACCACATTTGATATATCAGTGGCAAAAAATATGCTCTCTGTGAATATCTGCCGAATTTGACCTCAAGCTTTTGCATGGCTTACAGGGCACTATAGTAGGTTACAGTATTGTCTTCATATAAACTCATTCCTTTTCTGCCTAGGACAGCTGAGAAGCCCTGAAAAACAGACTCACTCTGTTCTCATCTCTGTCTAAACATGTGTCAGAATGAGGGCAGAGGTGTGTTTGAGCAGACCGAGGAGGGGCTGGCCATCACAGGCTTTACCTTGGTATACAGTAGATAATGTTCTACTCATTTTTTCTTAGCTTCTAAGTGGGCATACATGTGTCTAAAATATGAAGCAAGTATTATTTAACCACGTTGAGACGGTAAAAAAATGTTTTAGGTATAGATACTTAGGTTAAAGAACCTGAAAAAAATATTCATTATAACCCTCAAACCAAACAAGCAAAAAAAAATGCTTTTTCTTTAAAAATAAAAATCTCACCCTCTGTTGTTAGGACAAATACTTAAGCTATTAAAAGCACATCCCTTCCTGGGCCAGGATAGAAAAATCTAACATCTAAGACTCTAAAATTAAAGCCATGGGCTTTGGGGTCACCCAGCTCTGAAAAATAGTGGGTAGAATAACAACTAAAGTTGAGTCTGAATTCTAAAGGAAAAAAAAACAGAGAAAGAAAGTCAGCAGGGGAGACTTCTGCCTGGGTTTTAGTAGCTCTGCTTTCTGGCATAGGAGTCCTGTTCCCAGAAGCCTTGTGTGGGAGCTGAGTGGAGCTGAGCCCGGCTGGCAGGGAGGCAGCCTGGCTAGGCTGCAGATAAGCTGTGCTAGGCGGAGTGAGATCGGGTGGGTGAGGCTGGGAGCGCGTGTTACATCAGACACAGTACCTGATTTTTCACTGCACAGCATGTCAGCAAGATGGTGTGCCTCCTGGGCGATGAGTGCGAAAATCTCATCCTCATACTTTTCAATGATGGCTTCGCACTGCAGAAACACAATAGTAACACGTGTGAGCAGAGGCACACGGGCAGGACCTCTTATTAGCACAGACTTAGCGACATTTTAGTAGTGGAACACAGGAAAGCATGTAACCAAGGAAGTTCATTTTCCTGGCCCCTTTGGTTTGATACATCATTGCACAAGAGTAACCTTCCTCTAGGAATGCTAATTGTATCATTTTCCTGAGACTTAACTAAATGATTACTTTGTTGGAAAACCTCAGAGGGGGAGGAAGAGGAGAAGGAAGAAGGAAAGAAAATGGCTGGCTATGTTTGTTTCTACTCGTGTCTGGAGAGCCACTGCAGACAGGAAGGAACCGAAAGCTTTCCTCTCCTATTTCCTTCAACATTTTAATGACCACGTCTCCTGGAAATGGATGTATGAGTTTCCTTACAATTTAACAGAATAACTCACTTTGTGGTTTGAAAATTTGAAATAACTGAGGCTCCTCAGCCATCATAACAATTGCACCTCCCATCACTGGGGAAGTTTCTCTGTAGACCCTGAGGACTGGAGCTCAAGTCCTGCATTTGCTTTCCAAAGCAAATAAAAAATAAAACAAGTTGACACTTCAGGCAGGAGGAAGCATGAATTTACCGTGGGGTCTGAAAGTGTTAAATTCTGCCTGGAGTGTGTTTCTCCCATCAAGAACTTCCAGGCGGCCTTTTTTGGAATTGTGGGTTACTGATGGCCATCCACTGGAGACGTGCAAATCATCTCCGAGTTCATTAAGCAAGATGCTAAGAATTTTAAATGGCATTTAAAAATATTTAAATTCCACTATAATATGTTTATTTAAAACCTGTGAAAGACAAACACACTCACATCACCATCCAGGTTCCATGGGGCTTTTAGCCTTGAATTATTGCCCTCACTTTTTAATTAAAATGAAATCTCCAAATGTCAGCTACAGCCCCATGTTGGGGTTGCAGCATGCCTGACATTTTGGCCACTGTGTGAACTTAATGCATTTTTTAAAAACAGTTCTGCCCATTACTGTATGATTCAACAGTATTAAATAAGGGGAACTGCATTGCAACTTATTTTGCCAGGCACAACGTACTAAGCCAGAGGCCAACTTTTTTGTAAAATCAACTTTATACCGAAGGAAATGTGGGATTGTGCTCTTAACCCTAAGGCTTGGTGTAGCCTAGCCTGAGCAACAAAACCTGAATTAACTGGAGGAAAACATTCTCCTTGAGAAGCCTGTGGGGGATAGAGGAGAGGATCTTGGAGACTACCACTCCAACACTGAGCTATAAATACTTAAAAAGGACTCTTGGCCTCCATTCAGATTTCAGTCTAGAAACCACAACCTCTGCCCTTCCTTAGGTGAAAGTCTGAGCCGCAGTCTTCAAAACAAGACAGGCTGAGGTCACCCCATACCAGCAGAATGTCCTGATAAACAATGTGCAAATGGTACCAGACAGGGGACAAGGCACCATCCATAAAACCCCTTTCAGTCTCCCCACTGATCACCGAAGGCTGCCACGATCCCTGAGATGCCTCCCAAGCCAAATTCCTAAGCTTTCAGTTAAGACTTAAGCAGTGGGGCTGCGCAGAACACTCGGGCACGTAAATGTACCTGATTGTCCACTGCTCATCAGCGGCTCATGAGCAGCCACAGGCAGGAAAAGGAGACCCCAACAGACTCTTAGGAGGGTGCTTACCGCGAATTTCAAAGGTTTGAAGGCATCAGAATAAAAGAAGAACTTTTTATATTCTTTGTATATTTTGTCTCCCTTTCTCGGAGCGTATCTCCTGAAATACTTCTGCTTGGTCACTGGGTCGTCCTCCAGCTGGTAATCGTTCATTCGCATACACACTTTATCCAAAAGGTCCACGAGGAACGCCTCGGACTGGGCCAGGGGAACCTACAAGAAGAACAGAACCAGCCAGGACACTTGCCTACGCACACGCGAGTCCAGTGAATGCCTGGAAGGTCGGCTCCCCAATGGAAAGCAGCAGCACCGTTCTTTATGTAGCTTAAAGAAAGCTTAAATTTTAGCGAGAAAAATAATATGCTTGTCAGTGGACAGTAAGAAACTGAACAACCTAGGAACTGTATGTATAGATGTCATTTTAAAAAGTTGAGTAGAGGCTGAAGCACAGAAAATGGGAGGAGACGGGGGCGTCCATAGCGCATCAGTTCTGTGGGGAAGCCACACTTCTGCCCATCCCATGTCGCACTGCCCCCTGGCCTTCCGGGAATCTTGCGGCGGCTGTGCCGGGTCTACGCCGAGGTGATCGTAGGTAGCGGGACCCGGGGCGCCTCTGATAGGCCCAGGCTTGCTCTGGGAACAGCTGGCGCGCGTCCCGGGCGCCCCTTTCCCTCCCGGACCTGCCAGGGCGCGCTGGGCTCCGTGCCACCACCTCCGCCCCGGGCGCGGGTCAAAGAGCACCCCGCGCCCTTGGAAACCGAGACAAAACCTCGTGCGGCGTCTAGACGGGTCAAGGTGCAGGAGGCCTGGTCCCCGCGGCTCCTTCCGGAAGGGGCGTGGAGCCGCCAAGGGCGCCCGGCCCGGCCCGCGGCTTTGCGCGCTTTCTCCCTCTCCACCCTCTGCTGATCAAAGAAGGAAGTTTGCATGACAACCGCACTGAAAGGGGCTGCATGACAAATGAACTCGGTTTCTGCGGTGTTGATATATCCAGCCCCCATTGTCCCTTTTCACACGCAGTGTGAACCCTTCCGGTGCCAACGACTGCGCGACATTCACAGGCGCGCTCAGGGCGCACAAAGGGTCCCGGTGCTTCCCCGCCATCTGGCCGCAAAGCCGATCTGCAATTAACATGAAAGCGCGGGCAGCGTGGTCCGTGAGGAACAACACCCCCAGGTCGCCGCCGCCTCCAGCGTCCACCAGAAACCGACCCTGGGAGTGCGCTTCTGCGGAGCGCAGGAACCGCACGCCAGGACCGCGCCCGGTCACCGCCCCGCACCTGCTGCGGCCCAGGTGAACCTCAGGCCAGCAGGAACTCTCAAGGCCCTGACTTTGCAAAAACAATTAAGTAAAAACGTCTGCGAACTAAAATGAGAACACGCCACAGCAGGTGTCAAGTTCTTCAAATTCACCAAAATATATACAAATATATTGAATAAACGAACATTCTACAAGGGCACTTTCAATCACAACTGGCATTTTATTTAAGTTTTTCAAACTTTCTAAATTGCAAAAGAGAGATTCACAGGTTTACTAACTCAGCTGAAAATCGAGTAGCTCATGGCCACTTCGGTAAACTTGGCGTGGGAGTGGGGCACAGGGAAAGGTAAGAGTTCCGCAAAATGGAATTCTTACGTTAATGACTCTAGGCGAGCCTTTAACACAAAGTCTGGCCGGCGTTTTCAGTGGTGCCAGTGTGCTGAGCGTCTTTCCCTAATTGACACATATAGATGGCAGTTTCTAGTTGTCCACAAAGAAGGATTTTAAGTCACAGCGAAGGGTGAGATCGTTAACAAAAACAAAACAAAACAAAAACCCTAATAGCAATCGGGAAATCCACTCTTCTTCCCTACCCCATCAGAAAAGAAACAAGACTCTATGCATGGGGGTGGGGCAGGGCTTTGGGGGAGGACCCAGGATGGGGAAGAGGACCCTGGGAAACCCAGTCCTGTTACCAGGCCAAGACGGTCCTCTCACACTAAGCGTTTCTAGTCGCTTCCCTAGAAACTGTTTTGTTTTTCTTCCCATTTCAAATTGACTTAATATTCTGAGCTGTGTCAAGAAGATTGCTGAGCCTTGTAAGTCTGAGGCAAAGTCATGGAAGCCTCCTCCACGTTACTTTTGAGAACTTTGACTAAATTTTCCTGGATTGCACTTTTTGTAAAAAGTCCCCCACAGTGTGCATAACTGTGAGTTGTTTTTGGATGCTGTGTGTGTGTGTGTGTGTGCGCGCGCGCGCGCGCGCGTGTTTCTACAATCTTTTTTTAAAGTCTGAAGATTGACAGGTTTTGAATAGCCTTAGCTAGTTAGTCCTTTGCAGGAGTCTTTAAAACCAGGCGCACTTGCTGGCTGAAATCTTTCAGGACACTGTAAGCTCCTCCGGAAAAGGGAAGGGAGCCTTCCCAACATGAGGATGCTGAGGTCATTTTACGGAAGACTCTTCAAATCTTAAAATCCCCAAGCACTGAATATTGGAAAAATATTTTAAAAAAAGAGGTTTCTCATCACAGTTCTTTATACATGCATTAAAACTTACATTAATATGATTCCACTCAATGAACCACCTTTAGTAAATTTAAAGACTGTTCATAGAATAATTTATCCCCCCCAAAAATTTGTTCCGATTCTAAGAATGCATTAGTACTGAGACAAGTGGAATAAGAACCAAGTCTTTCTTTGTACACAGTGAAGGTTTTGAATGGAACTTGTCAATAAAGCGACTCCCTTTGTGATCTTCCAGGAACCTCGCCTCCGCCAAGCAAGGACTGTCTCAGAGATACTAGCCTCATTAAAATATGAATGGAAAGGGCCATAGTCTCCACCGCTGTGTCAGTACAGAACCCGCTCAGGCTTCTCCAACAGTTTTCTTGCTGATTTATGGCGACTCCCATAGAATGTTAGAAATGTAAAGTGATCCAATATCGTGTCCTCACTATCCTGGGGAACCTGAAAGCAAACCCAACATCTCCCAGTTTCACCTATAAGTCCCGTGTGGCATATGCACTGTCCAGACCCCACCCCACCACCTTAGGCTTCTCCTAACCACTGGCCTGTGAAGTGAGCAAGGGGAAGGGGCATACGAGGTGCCAGACCACAATTTTGAAACGGAAGCAAAGTTCTGGCTTGGGTTTCTCCTGGAGTCTGCAACGAGGGAGTTCCTTACAGACTTCTATGACTACACTTTAATAACGGCCAATTACAGCATGCTCCATGTTTTTTCATTACTGTGTCTCTGTTAATCGTGTAGCAAATTTCTTGCTTGATAGCTATCACAACCAGGCAGGAATACAATTATGTCACAGCACAATGGACGTGGAGACGCTAGTAGTGATGCGTCCCCTCTCTGCCATCACAAGCCTGACAGTCGCCAATAAACTTCATTCATCTTCATGACTGTTTTGTAGTTTTCCTTCAGACATGAAGCTGGCACTTAACCTGCTTAGTGGCTGATCATTTCTTATTGTTGCAAAGATTTTCCTCTCTCGAGGGTTGGTTAATGCAGCAATTATAAGGACTTTGTCGCAAACATTGGATCCAGTTTAACTGCTAACTTTCCATCCGTAAAGAATGGAACCACCAGTGATATTGGCTTAAAGTCAATATTTACGTGCAAAAAGTGACAGCTGCTCACCTTAGGCTTGGGTTCAGAAACTCTGTGAGCTGATGAGGTACATAATTAGCTTCTATGTTAATTAACTGCTATGAGTTTGTTGTATGACACTCCTTCGTACAATATGTAAATTGGTTGACTGTTTGGTTTCATTAAACAATATGATTACAAATCTGAAGGAATTCATTTTGATGAGAAATAATAAAAGTTGATGGATTTCCAGCTATGTATGTATGTATGTATATATATATATTTGTGTGAGAGTTATATAAACATATAAATATAACTGGAAATTTTATATAAAGCTATATGGGGGAGTCACATCCAAACCCAACTGATAAGAGCTTTTTTTTTTTTTCCTGATAGCCTAATTTTGAAGAGTAACTGGAGCATCACACAATTCTCAGCACTGGTGCTTCAAGATTCCTCAAACTTCCTGACTGGACAGGTAGGCCTGTGAGCAACCGCTACAGCATCCTTGCTTTCGAGAAAACCATTTCTTACCATCTGAATGATGGAAACAAGCCATTCTGATTTGAAAGGCTATATTTGCAAGTGTTTTCTGTCCTTATCATTAGAGTATGAGGGTTACGGATTAGTAACATATATTCTCAAGGAGTTGAAAATTGGTAGCAAAATGAGAACCCTGTGATTTAGGGGAATCTCCCCTCCAGACTTCAGGCACATTTTTTTAATTCTGGAGTTATCTTCAACTAACAATGACAGGAGAGAATAGAAAAGAACCATACCACGGGTCAGCATTAATGATCATGGAGTGGGGGAGGGTTCATCTAACTCAGCTTCTCAAGATAAAAAATAAACATCTTTCTTTCATTATGAAATATTAAATTTTTGCCACTATTAGGTTTATCGTTTTTTAAAAAATACTCTGCTTTAAAAAATAGTTTTTTTAAAAACCAATAAAGTTTTGAATGTATTAGGTAAAATAAAAAGCATAGCTATCCATACAAAATGCAGCCAATTTCCAACCTCTGTGAAGTCCTGAAAGCAAAGGCTCAGGCACAGTTCACTATGCGCCTCACTTCGTGCGGCACTTAGTGCAGTATGGAGAGTCTGCGGCTTTAAAAGCTCCTGACCGGAGAAAGCCAGAGCACCCACCAGGGCAGTTGCAGACCAGAGCAGGACAAGACTCAGTTTATTTAAGGCTGAGGAAAGCTGGAGATTAGCCTGGGCTACATTGTAAGTTTCTGGGTAGCCTAGACTACAGTGCTCTGCCTCAAAAGATCAAAATTTAAATAGAAAAAATAATTTTTTTATTCATTTACCAAATAATTACTAGGCCCTATCTATACTGTAGGCAAACACATTTGCCAAATATGTTTAAAAAACATATTATTGTTTTATTTTATGTGTATGAGTGTATGCATGTCTGTGTACCACATGTGTGGCCACAGAGGGCAAAATTATGAGCTGCTATATGTGTCCTGGAAAATAAACGGAGTCTGCTGAAAATGCAGCCAGTGCTCTTGACTGCTGAGCCATCTCTCCAGCTCCAAATAAAGATCTTCTTAAAGACTCTTCATGATTCTGTGGTGTGGGAAGTCCTCTGTCAATGTGTTGCTTTTATTGGTTAATGAATAAAGCTGTTTCGGCCAGTGGCTTAGCAGAATAGGGCAAGGTGGGAGTTCCAAGCAGATAGAGGATAGAAAGAGTAGGTGGAGTGAGTGAGAAGCCATGTAGCCCCACTGGAGACAGACGCCAGACACAGACACCGGATGGAACTTTACCCAGTAAGCCACAGCCATGTGGCGATACACAGATTAATAAAAATGGGTTAACTTAAGATATAAGAGCTAGCTAGTAATACGCTTAAGTGATTGACCAAACAGTATTGCAAATAATATAGCTTCTGTGTGATTCTGATTTTGAGTCTGAACATCTGGGACCAAAGGAACAGCCCCCATCAACAACTCTGAATTAATTATATGTTCCCAATGGACATCAGCTGGTGGTAGTCTGGCCATGTGTATGGTGTGGCTGCCAGAGATTGCCCAAGCACTGCTGCTGCTCCTTGACTTATAGATGCCTTCCTGTAGGCAGAGCATCTCTGTGTCCTGACAGCCGCTCCCAAATAACCACACTGAGACTTATTATTAATTATAAATGCTCTACCAATAGTTCAGGCTTGTTAAACTAGCTAACTCTTACATTTTAAATTAATCCATATTTCTTATCTACATTCTGCCACCTGGCTTGGTACCTTTTCTCAGTATGGTAAGTTCATCTTTTTCTCTCTTAGTCTCCTTGAGATTCTCAGATTCCTCCTCTTCTTTGTACTCTCTTTTTGTCTGTAAGTCCCACCTTACCTCTACCTGTCCACCTCTTGGTCAGTCAGCTTCTTTATTAACCCAATTACAGTGACATATATTCACACACCTTCCAACTGAAACTTGTCTTTCAGTATTTTGTTCCTGCAAATTATC